AAGGGAAGGGAAGGGAAGGGAAGGGAAGGGAAGGGGCTAGATAATGTCAAAATTGAAGCACTACTGGGACTGAAGATTTTGTCAGTGTCATACACACAATTAATTTCTTGTGTCTCTTGTGCTACATTGACAGAGAAAACGTGGCTGAGAACGGGGCAGCGATAACAAAGCACTTTACCTGGAGCTAGAGAGAGTGGCTTTGCAAGATTGGCTGGAATAAAAGTGGACGGAGAAGCTATAGGTTTTAAACTTCCCCTGCCTCGACACGGGACGCGAGAACTGCGCGTTCCAGTGCCTTTCTAGGAGTTAAACCGCACTTACCCACAGCCCAGTGGCTGCCACGGGGGTAGATCTTGGTGAGGGCGGGGGTCGCGCCGGACTTGAGGGGCGCCGCTCCGCCCTGCGCCGCCAGCAGCGCCAGCGCCAGCAGCGGCAGCGCCGTGGGCCGCCCGCCCCCCATCCTGCCCTCCTGCCCGTCTTGCCGATGCTGCTCCGAGCCCCGCTCCGGCTCCGAGCCCCGCTCCGGCTCCGGCTCCGGCAGGGCTCCAAAGCACCACTGCTGCCGCCGCCGTCACAGCCCCTCATTTATCCGGAGCCGGGCCCGACGCGAGCGGAGACCCCGCGGCCGCCGCCTCCTGACGGGCCCGCGGCAGCCCCAGTCCCCGCCCGCTCCCCGCCCCGCCGGCCGCCAACGGGGGGAGCCGAGGCGCCGCGTTCTCTCTCTCGGTTCCCTCCGCAACACCGACGCGTCCCGCGAGTCGTGTTCCCCGCGCTGCGCTCGCCGGGTTCAGCGCTGAGGGCAGCCCGAGCACCTCGGGGCGGTGCTGCCGGCGGTGCCCGGGGCACCGGCAGCTCCTGWGGAGAGCCGGCAGCGGCAGAGGTCACCCCCGCCTGGCGGGGCCGCATCGTGGGTGCTTCAGTTCGGCTGCACTTGCGGCAAAGTCTCCTTACCCCTCACTATAAAACAGAAAATCTTGTGCAAAGCACTTATTTTCATTTCCAACATCACCTAAATTTCCTGTCACAAATGACAGTAAAGTGGATAAGGATTTAGAGGACTTTCTGCTTTCCTTGCACAGGGAGCCTGTAAATTTTTCAGCACCCTGAGGCAACTGGAACTGGCAAACTGTACTAGTTACTGGATGAAAAGGATTCCAGCCTGAAGACGCAGTGCAGAGAAAGGATGGAGGCAGTGCATCCCTGGAAAGGCCATGAAGTGGAACACTTAAAAGGGTTTCACTGGAGTGAAGGTGTGTGAGCAGTGACGGGATATGAAGTCCTGATGTGCCGTTTGTTACCCAGGAAAACAGCAGGAACAGGATGAAACCTTGTGTAATCGGTGCAGTTTTTGTGATGATTTTGCTGTCTAGAGAGCTATGGCAGAAGGTAGTATACACAGGGAACAGAGCTGACTGTAAGGAACCTGCCACATCSTCCAGCTAGCCCCACATGACTGGAACTGAACTATCCTCACTGGAAGCTCCGACAGATGTGAATTAACATAATTTCCAGGCAAACTCGCGTACAGTCCTTTTTGAAGTCGATTATGTATCCTCCTGTATTGAGCTAGATTGTTCCCTTGTTTAGTCACGGTTTATTTCATCTTCTTTTACTGAATAATGTGATTCATTCTTTTCTTTTGGTTATTAATTATGCATTCCATTTAATTTACAATAGTATTCTCAYTCCTCAATCACATTTCACCATGCAGCCTGCAGTACAGCTACAAACATGTGCTCCGTGTTGAGTGACAGCCAATCGAATAAAATATTGCCATCCGTAGAAAAATTAAGAGAACTGTCCATGTTCAGAAAACAGAACTAAAATCAACCAAACATGAATTGTTAGTCAGTTCCTTGTTGCCCGGTAGTCCCAAATCTCTTCTACCAAAAACACTTTGCAAACAAATTAACCTTCCTCATATGTTGTATATGTGGTATTGTTGTATATGTATTATTTATTTACTTGTTCATAAATATAAAAGAAGGTAATATGGTTTTACTCAAATTCTTATTTTGATTAACCTTTCAAGGAAAATAGTAATTTGATAACATAGGTAAATATTATTCTACCCCCTCCCAAATGAAAAGGATCCAGTTACAACCAAAGGATGTTACAAACTGTGAATGACTCAACTCACTCAAGATAATCTTTCTCTCTTAAAGAAGAACCTCATAACATCTATTTGTGTTTGAACATCAAGAAACAGATCTCTTTATTTTAAAATACCTTTTGCCTTTTCATACCTCCCATGGCAAAGCAAAATGTTGCCGCGCTCCATGGCAGGAAGACATTTGCGGTTTTTAAAAGCCATTACCATGATAACACTCTTTAATCTGCCTCTTTTGCATTTTAGACAAGCATAATTGTCCTATCGGCAAAGCAGATTTGATGGCTATAAAAGGGGATAATAGAAGAATGACGTGCCTTTCATCATTTTCTTTGTAGTGACCCTGGTGTTAGACACAGCCAGGATATATGTACAGAACAAACACTGCTTGGAGCATTTCTCCAATGTAATAACAGGCACGATCATTGTGGAATACTCTGTAAATGTTGAAGATGGTGAACAGATTAATCTCCAACATTTCCAACCTGCACTCAGGGCCAGGTGTTCTGCAAATAACCTCAACCTCGACTCTGTGCAGCAACAGTTCCCTGAAGAACTGAAGACATTTTGCTGAAAAGAGCTCCACAACTTTACAGAGGCTGAATAATATTAAATAATAACATTTTTTTAATAAAGCCCAGTGTAAGATAGTTGATCCTGTTTGGGCTGCATTTTGGGAAGCCCTAGACAGTTGAAGCTTAACGACTGTGATTACTCACTGCACACTGAATGTGTGCCAGGGTGTTGTGTCAGCCATCACAAGTTTGGGTTTATGATTTCTGTGGTGGAGGGGTTCAGTAATTGCAGAATTCAAATGGGAAGCAATTACGGACATGCCTGTGGACCAGAACAGCCTACAGCAATTATCCAGCCTGACAGCCTGAGCCCTTCCAGGCTGCCCAGAAGCTCAAGGGGCAAATGATGCTGGAACGCTGAGCCTCGAGCATCCACTTTCTCCCCAGGGAGCCTGCTCCAGGTTCTGAGCACTCTCTCAGCAAGGAAATGCTTCCTAACATCCCCTCTGATCCTCCCCTGACAGCTCTGAGCCACTCCTGTGCCTGGCTCCCAGTGTCCAATTTGCCAGGTGCAGAATGTCCAACAGATTGCTCTCCAAGTCAGAGCTGACTGTGCTCACTTTGAGGTAGGTGCACAGAATAAATCTGGATTTCAGCAATACCAGAGGAAAGAAAAAACCATTCTTACTACATAGACACTGTCTCCAAAAATGACATTATTTTTTCGTAACTAGGATGATACGCTTCCAGGAAGACTGCATTAAGGATATAAACATTATTCTGTCATGCCGTTTATTATACTCAATTTTATTTCTACACAATTTGACACAAAGTAAGTAATTTTTATAATACAGTTGGACATGAAAACTGCTTAGTGGGACACAAAAGAAGTAATATTACTTGGAAAAATTCAGCAGTTGTCTGCTAGCATGAGCTGTTACAACAGAAAAGGTGTCATTATTGTATAATAAAGTATTTTTGCAGAGGTAAGGGATTACAGAAGAAACAGAACTCCAGAGGATAAAAGCACCACACTGTTCCTTATCAAAGCTACAAAAACAAAGACAGCAAGGAAAACAAGTTCTGCTTTGTTGAAGGTACAACACTGGCTTTTAGAGAGAAAAGAAAAACACCAAATTTCATAAAAGACGGTGATCAGGTAAGTTTTTAAACGAAAAAAATCAATTTTATGTTTAACACTATTCAGGTGTTATATGATAGGAGAGAATAATACATTCTTCAAACTGGCACAAGAGCTCTGGTTTCCCCTTCTTGGCAATATCCCTGAAGTGTACTATTCTAACTGTGCTATTCATTCAGTAATTTACAAGTGTTATTAAAGCCCCACAAAAACTTCTTGTTAGGTTTGTTTAATAACAAGGAACACAAAAGGCAGAATGGTCAACAGCCTGAATTCTAGCAACAGTCCTTAAAAACCAGGCCTCTAAGAATCAGGCCATCTGGGCTTTTTTCCCTAGCCCATGAAGGAGCAAGTTTTAAATTCAGGGGAAAAGCTGAGCTCCCACTGCTCCGTATCAAGTCAGAGTGAAACTCCCCTTCTTGGCTATTTTTGTCAGCCACATCCAGCAAAATTTCCTTAGGAATAAGGCTGATTAAACTACTACAACTCATTGCCTGTTTAGAGATTCTGTGTCCTTCCAAGTACTGACCAAAACAGTTTGTATGGTGGAGAAAAGAGGGCACTGACAGGTTAAAAATAACCTAGCAAAAACCCCCAAAACAAACAGGAGGGCAAAAGTGGATTCAAATGCAGCACCACTCAAGAAAAACCAATGTGAAATAGCAAGAGAGCTCTTGGCTGTTCTAGTACATGACGGTGTCTCCTAAACAAGAGTCAGGCTAGCTGAGACAGTCTGTAGAAGGTGGTAAATATGACATTTTGTAATTAGCCAGCAGCCAACAGCTTCACTCATTAGTTGTAGTTTATTTAGACAAGAGCTTGCACAGTTTTGTAACTGTATACAGAAATGAAACTATCTGAAATATATTAGTTTTTTTCCCCCTGCATATTTCCCTCTGTTCTTGTGTTTAGGATTCCCGTTTGAGCAGCACATATGCTCCCATCACTGCCAGGAGAGCATACTGCAAAGAAACATAGAACACAGATTTGTTATAATTACTCTGCACAGACCTCTGAAAGCACAAGTGTTCAAAGCGTGCTGCCCTCTCCACCATCACACCTTCCAGACCAGCCCACAATTACAAAGGTCTGGTCCTACAGAATTGCAGGAATATTTTAATATGATCAAATTCATCACAAGCAGGCATCAAAACTGGATGCACTTTACTAACAAGATTCTTACAAATGACATGTTTTCACCTCATTTCAAATAACTAATTCTACTCAAGGAAACTCAGCTTAGCCTATGTCAGGTATCAAACCACAGACACAAATTTATTAACATGCGTGCTTATTGTCTGTACTTGTTATTTTAGCGATTCGAGTATTCAAAATGTCAGGATACATACCTTAAATTTTGGGTAGTCATTCATTATTATAGTTACCATTCCTACATAGGGCAAAAACCTGTAATTGATAAAACAGGTGAATGTAAAATTAACCCTCAAATATTACATGGAAGTATTTTAATGTTATTCATTTGGGAAGACTTCAGAACAAACCCATCATTTACACCTGGGACCAATGSTGAATCTAATGGCTAAAGATCTGAAAAGGAAGTAAAATTCATTAGTTTTCCTTAGTCAAAGTTATCTGAGAAAATYGGAAGAGATTTCATCTCAACTGGAGCAGGAGACAAAGTCAGAAGCTCAAATCTTACATAAACTTTCTGGGAAATGCCAAAACAACAACACAAAATTCCTGTGAAATGCCAAAACTAGGGATTCCTGGCAATTGCAAGGATAATCTGGTTAATTTTGAATTTTTGGGTGAACTATTTGTTAAACGTGCCTTTTTTTCCTCACACTCCACATCAGGGGGAGGAATATAGGAAGCAACTTTTCCAGGTTTTCTTTTTAATTACAATTATATCTAAGAAATTATAAAAATATATCAGATCTAGTTTGTACCAACAGTAGAATAAATTTAACAGCTAAATTTTCTATTTAATTACAAAGTACATTTTGATTTACTTACCCTCTTGCTCTTCCAACAACATCTTTCTTCTCTAACCAGTTCTGACCTTCTTTGTATAAGCCTCTATCATCAACTTCATTATTATCCCCTTTAGTCAGAAATTTGATGTTCCCATTTCCTCTAGAAGGCAATGAGGTGACAAACTAAATAGCACTTAATTTAAAATTCTCAATTAAGATCTACAGAGCAAATGAGGATGAAAAGTGCTATAACATTAGATAACAATGTTTGCTTTCAGCCCTGCTTATTGAACAAGCACCATTAAATCATTAACATTACAGACTTTACTGATATATCTATCAACAGATATTAACAAGAAATGTTTTTTTAAAATACTCCTAGATTTTCATTTGATATAAGCAATTACACAATGGACAAGAAAGGGATATTGTCCATCCAGGCACTAAAGCCATATGTGCCTATCTGCATCTTCAACAGAACACAAACCAAAATAAAGTTATTAAGTTTGTAGTCTTCAAATGAATTTTGCTCAAGTACTGACATCAAGAAATAAGGGGTCTCATAAAGACAAATTATGTAATAAGAAAATATAGGTGATTCATATTTGCTTCAAAAAAACATGGAACAACAGGTATTACTCAAGAAGGAAACACCTTCATTTCATGGAGCAAATATGCCAGTGCTTGCCATCCCCAGCTTAGCTTTTCACTGAACTAGGAGCAGAATTGCCTCTCCTGTGTTCTGGAAGAACTGTTTATCAGAGCAGGCATCTGCCACCAAGGCCAAATTGAGCCCTCTCCCTGCTGCTTTTCAGCAAGAATGGCTGTGGGCAGTGTTACCAATAAACACAACAAYAATAATAATAATAATAATCATCATCATCATCTTTTATCCTCAGTCAAATCTGGAAAAACTTCAATTAGCAAAGCTCACATACTTTCAGGCTGCACCCCGATTCTGAATCTTCACCTTCTGTCACAGATTTGCTTAGAACCAAAATCCCACCTGTACCACCATCAGGACAGAAGTGGACTCTGCTCTCACACACATTACTGCTGCCAAGATTCCTCTTGGGCCCAGCTTTACCTGCTCCAACCCTGAGCAGCTTCGTTGAGGGAAAGCACTCAGACCCTCGAGTAGTGTGGTACAGAACTGGAGACAGCAGTGGATCACATCCTACAGCTGAGCTTTCTCTCCCTTCTTATCCTCACCTGCCTTTCTCACACACTAAACCACAACTGAAGTGTCACTTTAACTGAAAGCCATGGGGAAGGAAAGGATCCTTACAAACAAGGAAAATGCTAAATTGCATTACTTTTCATGTACTTTGATAACTCTGTGAACTATCGGAATGTCTCTGCCTTCAACTTTAAAAACAACTATTTCACCAGCTCTGATTGGGTCATCATGGAAATTTGTTAGGAACAGCAGGTCTCCTCTGTGAAAAGCTGGTTCCATGCTGCCACTACAAACAAGAAGAAAGAGAGAGTTTGTTGGCATCGMAGCAAATGAAAGAAACATGAAATCAAAGAACATTCAATTCTTACCGATAAACCCACAATTTTAACTGAAACCTGTGCCTTCACCCATTCAGTAGCATTGCTCAGACCACGAACACAATCCAAACTGCAGAAAGCAATCTGCAGGAGTTTACCCTTTAAGTGAAGGAACTTGGATTTTAAAAGGTAACTCATATATTAACTGCTCCTACAAACCTGCACGGAAACCGGGCCATGCTACTGACAGTATGGCCTTTGCTCAAAGCCAAAAACAGTTACAAGAAAGCAAGTGTTTGAGTCCTTCCTTAATCTCACCTTAAGTAGGTGAGATTTCAAATTCCAAATGTATCCAAGAGGAAGAGGGAGAAGACAAAGGAGAAAACAATACCTGGATGTGAATCAGAAAGCCTTTACACTGACTCACCTGAGCACCACGACAATTGGGCTCTCACTGCCAGTGACCACAATCAGCCCTTTCCAGATCATTAGGGCAGAAGACACAATCATAGCAAAATTTAAGACTTGGTAATACAGCTGTGTGAAACAAGAAAATTGGTTTTCAAAGTTACTGTATTGTATTTAAAAGCACAACACAGAACTTCAACCCAAGTGCATCACAGATTCTAGGCTTTTAGGCTAAAATCCTATTCCAACACAAGTCTGGTAGCACAGATGATCATGTTGGAACCCCCAAAGCGCAGTGTAAGGCTGGAATGCAGAGCGGGCCTTAGTCCCGGGTTCATGCACTCCCTGTCAGTGGCAGAGGCCGTGAACACGGCGGCAAAGGCTCCTTCACCTGAGGAAGCCACTTGGCAAACCASCAAGCCCGGTTCGGTCACACGACCCTGACTGCAACCCCAGCCCAGAAATATCCCGAAGGGACCTATGGAACATCGGACCATCAGTAAATGCTGGCGCTGTATTATGAGATTGACTTATGTTTAAAAACAGGAGCTGTGGGAGACGAGAGGCGACAAAGGCTCATTTCCTGCCACTGTCATAGGGAAATTTCCGAACTAGAAAATCACTGATTTGATTTTCTGCTCCCAAATTCTCCTGCTCCGCTAGCCCTTCCAGCAGCGGACGCGCTTTACCCACACTCCTTCGTGTTTTTGTTCCTTTTCTCGGCAGAACACGGGGAGTGTGGTGGGAACGACCCCGCACGTTTGAAAACCCCCGCTCCCCGCTGAGGAGTGAGACCCGGCTCCGATACCTGCCGCTTGTTCATGCGCCGCAGGTCCCCGAASAGATCCATGGCGGCCCCGCCGCCGCCGCTGGGGCCGGCCGGACCTGCGCCCCGCGCCCAGCGCCCGGGATGACAGCGGGGCCCGCGCTGCTCTCTGGAACTTGTAGTCTCCCTCCTGTCCCTCCCCGCCAGTGCTCAGAGGGCAACCGCTGCCGGGAAACTACAATTCCCAGCATGCACCGCGGCAAAAGGGCCTTTCGACCAGGCCCCTTGCCTCTTGCCTTTGGAGGCGCCTGAGCTGCTGGCCGTTCCAAGGGACCGTCGGTGGGCGCTCAGACCCTCCGGCTCTGCGCGACGAGCCGCTCCCGCCCTAGAAGCAGCGGGACGGCTGCACCGCTCTCCCGGGCGGCGTGTTTTGGGTCAGGCAACTGCCGCCGGCATCCCGGGGCCGCCGCTGCGTGTGCGCAGCTGATTGGCGGGCCGAGGAGGGCGGGCGCGCGCGGGAAAGCGGCGTTGTGAGGGGTGGGCAGTGGCGGCCGGCAGGGGGCGCTGTGCTGAGCGCGGGAACGCCTGAGGGCGCAGCGCTGGGAAGGGATCCCCGGAGGCGCGTCCATCTCCTCCTCAGCAGCTGTGAACGGAATCGCTTCATGTCAGCAGCCTGCTGTGACCTCAGTGGTTGCTCAGGGACCGCGACACGGTCAGAGTAGAGCACAGGGGCCCGGAAAAGCCCCATCCGTGTGTGGCAGCCCCTCGGTGCTGTCCTGTGCCGGCGAGGATGGGCCGCGCTGCTCAGAGCGGGCCGGTAGTTGTTCAGAGCCCCGAGCAGCACAGGGAGACTTCACAGCCACTTCCAGTTCATCACTGAGTGATTGCATGAGCCTGAAGCAGTTAGCAGCCGCACGGATACAGGTCGTAGCTAAGAGCCTGATTTCCTGCGAATTAAATGGACCAAACGCAGTCAGATTTTTCCTCACGTAAGAATTAGCCCCTGACGACTGAGAACGGGAGTGCAGAGCACACATGGAAATGCTATTCCAATAAATTGAAACAGTTTGTCTGACTGGAGCGGTGTTTTTGTAATTTATCAGCAATTGATCAAGACTTTATACTGGGAAACAGTTGAGCAAGACAGACCAGGGCTAAGAGAGCAGAACTGGCATTAGATCACGGGGGAAGGTGTAATGCTTTCAGGAATGAACAGAAATAGCAAATTGGAAAGAAAGCTCCAAGCACACCAGCTAGGCATGATCCAGGTAAGATCCTTCACCTTCCCAGCTGCTTATTCTACCAGTGACACCAGTATTCTTTGACTTACTACACAGGAGTTCCTCTAAGTTTATGTGATTTTAGATAAGTTCTCTCTGCTATCTTTTAACTACTCAGAGAAAAGCATTTGTTACTATCCCCTTTGAGCAGATGCAATATTCAGAAGTAATTACTAAGACAGAAGGAAAATACACAAGAGCAATCTCAAAGGTGGTGAAAAGAGTCTCAATTTTCTTTGTGCAATTAAGAGTTTAATTGAAAAGCTGTTTAACAAAGTTATGTGTTGTGCACGAGCGGGATCTGCCCACTGATATGTTGGATAGACCCTTGTCCAGCAAAAGGTTTTCTGCAATTCCTCTGAGCAGATTTTTTTATACCATGCTACTTATATTTTTTTTTTTTTTCGAATAGAGGTTTTCACCCTTGTGTACAAATCTGCTTGTCTTTATTTTCATAAAAAATCCTGACAATTGAGAGATTAAAAAATGATGATTGGAAAAAAAAGTATGACTCCTGTACAATTGTACATAAGGGATATAATATACAATGTATCATAAGGGGTACTACCAAATCTCAGTCTCTAAAAACCTCATTGACATACCACTAATTTACAGTAGGGTTCAGACCATGGTAATTCATAGGCAATTAGAAACAATCTGCCAAAAACATCTTTGTTAAATTTGTTTTTTCTATTGGAAGGAAATATTTATATTATTTCTTGTGTTTATAACTGTAAATTCTGCTTTAGCTAATAATTCATTATATTAATGCAGGCTATCATATCTGCATCAATATGAAAAAAAATAATGAGAAACCAACTTTTGTTCCAAAACTATGTATCACACTGAAATTCCTACTAAAGTAGAATAGATTTAATCGTCCTTACTTTGCATTTAATCATGTGTTTGTATTTAACAGTAAGTATTTGACACTTTTCTATTATTGAGTCACCCAAGGAATGGCTGAACATAAAAGGATGAATTTCCGTCCTAGAATAGAGTTGCAATGCTGCAACACAGAACTAAGACAAATGGCTGTGATAGAAGAATTATCTCTAAGTGTTGTTTTTGGGTAGTGCTTTAATTCAGAAAACAGGCAGAAAATTATTCATGCCTATTGTGAAGTAGGAATATAAATTTTGGAGCCAAAAGACAAGCCACTCAGCAGGGAGATGGCAGCAGCTGAGAGAATGCAAATGACAAAGCCTAGTCACTATTAGAACAATGCCTTGCTGTCATTCCTGATGAGGAGAACTAAAAGTGGAAGTTCAGGTGATAAAATCTAATTCTGTAACAAGCAGAGGGAAGAAGCAGAGCCAGTGTATGGAGAATTTAGGAAAGCAAGAAGGCAGCTTTGTGTTGAGGATTGAAGCTGCGTGTTTTGTTGTTCCCATAGATGAGACTTACTTTTGTCCAGGGCATGAACCCCCATTTAAGTGTGAGACTGCAGTTTCTTTGCCTGCTGGTTTGATTGTTCTTGGTGTTTGACAGCTCAGAAAACACTTGTACTCCCCCATTGCTTATGGTGACGTGAGAGAAACATATGAAGAATCTGCTTTTGTTCCTTTCCCAGAGATGCTGGGAATCACCCACACTTCTGTTGGTGGCTTTGTTATTTTACCATCTGCATGATTTAGATTATTAAAGGTTACATGTGTTTTGGAATCTTCCTGTACGCTGGAAGTTTGACTTCAATATTTGTACTGTAGATCCTTGGGAGCTCTGCAGCTAGAAAATAATACTAGTTTTTCAATACACAGATAGTGTAGCTCTTGACATTCTAGCAGATTTGCCAGACCTTTGCAAACRGCCAGGCATTAGTGCTACCTGTATATATGAAATTGAAGTCCAGATCTTTGTGTTCCAGGGGATTGGTCATGGGCACAGAACTCACCCCTCTTCTGTATACTTTGAATAGTTGTATTTCATTGTATTGCATTTTTGTAACAGTACAAAGAATATTTGCTTCCCACATGCTCTTGCATGCGCACCCCCACTTTGGAGGCCACTTCTTGGGAGCATGTGTGGCTTTTGGCTTGGCATCACTTCTCTCCTGAGTGTTGTCATGTGCCTTGGGAGCTGGCAAGGACCTGTTCACAGGCACAGTTTGCAACCCCAGTGTCCCTTTCTAAGCGTATGAGTCGACGTTTTAGTCTGCTCTGCTACCCATTGTCTGGAGACCTAATTGGATTTCAGCTGAGTGGATTTGTTTCAGGGAATCGCTTATTTGTGAAAATAATTCATTTTTCTTGGGGAAAAGGGTAAGGAGAGGGAAGGCTCCAACTATCTGAACAATCAATTGAATTTAGCAAATAATATTCTCTTTTCCTTCCCCTTTCCCCATGGAACAGAGAAAAAAAAAAAAACCAACCAAAAAACAGAAACAACCTGAAAAAATACATTTACATTTTTCCAAGTGAAAAAAGTTTGATTTTTAAAACTGTCCAAGAGCAAATGGTAATGTGGCTTCTGGCTGTTAGAGGCTGCTGCTGTTTTATGCTTCTGCCTTGACTTTGCTGAGTGTTAGGAAAGGGCTGGCATTGCATGGGAGGGCACATGTTGTGTGGGAAACAGCTCATGGAGGTGAAGTGCTGGGGCACTGTTGCTTGCTGCTCCATGGGGGGATATTTCTCTGCACAGAAAGGGTTCTGCTCATTTTGCTAACAGCACCAGTATGGAAATGTAATGACCAAGTAATATGTTGAGACTGTAGCTCCTCCAGCCTGATTGCATTCATCAGGGACTGTTCTCCATTTTAACTGATAAGTGACAGTCACTTAAAGCTGGAAATATTGTTGTGATTGACCTGCAATATTGGTCTGGTCCGCAGAGTTATGGCACTGTTAGCCAAGTGAGGGCAATGCTTATAATTCACTGCATCCATTTCCCCTACATCACGTTACAGTATTGAATACAAAATATCAGAATTTGAGAATAGAAAATAAATGARCTGCATAAAGTCGTTCACCAGATCATATAAGGGGGATGTATCTGAGAGGATACAATACTCAGCTTATTTGGCTAATAGTCACATTATTGCTCCAAATGCATTTCTTCCTTCAAAATAGAAACCTGGGGGTTAGAGAGAGAGCACTGTAGTGCCTCCAGTTCATTTTCCAGGTGGATCTGAGTCATTCCCAGTGTAGTGTCTCACAGTGATGCCCTCAAATGGGCCATTTGGTCCCCAGGGAGGAAAGCTGTCTGTTTTCCCAACTATGAAAGAAATAACATCAAACTCAGTTTTTCTACAGTCACGGTTGAGGAGCAAAGACATTTTTTTTTTTTTTTTTCCCCAAGGAAAGAAATGCCCAGGGCTGAGACAAGAAGTGGCTTCTTCTTTCACACTCCTTCTGCATCCACTTCTGGCTGCAGAATCTACTTTGTACACAGAAGCTGGGCACATAGGTCAGGAACTCTCRTGCCTTCTATATTTGTCATATTCTCTACTTATTTCTCTTGTCAATCCATTTTCCACCCTAGTCACCCTTCAGGGAGCCTGTACAAATAACCTTTGAGTAGTAATCTGAAATTCAAAGAGTTGACTACTGAACTACCCTAATATTTGAGAAAGGTTTTAAATTAAAATAGGGGTTTTTTTTGTGTGCCATTATTGGCCTGGCAGCTGCGTATGTACACTAAGTGTACTGAGAAAGGTAATATTAACAAAATGAAAAGGTCAGAGTTATATAAAAATCCTTTTAAAGGTAAATAGGCTTGCCAAACTGAATACCCTGCAAGCAGACAKAGGTKGGGAACTGAGAACATTTGGACTTTYGGCAGGTCAAGCTGTGCATCTATAAATGCCCTCTAGAAATAGAAACCCCAGGTGAATGTAGGTAGAGGTAATGTGATTGTGGTCAGCCAGATT